CAATCCCTAGTAAATGTTACACTAAATGCACGTACCAAGTTTCACAGTGATCGGTTGGTTAGATTCCGAGATATCTTGCACAAAACGTTTCCAAAAACCTAGTTTCGAGAGAAACGCGTTTAAAGTTTCAGAACGTCATTTTTCACACGTATCCTTTACTTACTTTTTTTTTACTTGTATATCGCGGCTCGCAGTTCTTACAATTTACTAACTAAATTGAATCCAAGTCCCCCAATATTCGATTCACCAAGAGTAATATTTGAATCACACGATTTGCACTTTGCAATACTGCTTAAAGTTGTAAACACTGATACAAATTCAATTCAATTACTCTGTACTCCGCGGATTTGTTATTATACCTCGAAATGAGTCGTTTTGAAGCCTAGGATCTTTGGTATTTTATTTCCAAGACTTCAAACTACTATTCGAAACAAAACAAAAAGAAAGAACTCGATTTTTTTGAAAGTTTAAAACTGTCGTGACCCCTTGATCTTTCACGGCTTTGGACCATGTGGTTCAATCGTCTATTGGCGACATTACTTGTGAACGAGGATGTACGTGCGTGTATAATATACAATATGAAAAAATAGCAACAACGAGCGACAAATGCTCCCGACTCACATTTTTATCTTACAGTTAGACTCGGTGCATGCAAACGAATACAGTATATATACACACATAGATTATGATCCGACAGCTTCGTGCATACGTTGATCTCGATTGTCGCTCTACGAGCTGTGATTTCCTGTGCGACACGCTGCAAAGATTCATTTTTTTTCCAAAATGAGATTCTCTTTTTTTCCACTGTGATTATTCTTAGTTTCGTGGAATTCGTTTCACAGACTAAAATCACTCTTAATTACTCTGCGACGTACGACTTTGTGACCAATTGATATTCATTACGTTATCTCATGAAAGAGAAATCGCGACTCCAAAATGGCAATAATGGAATCACGTCCGTTTTTTTTATGTAAAAAAAAAAAAGCTACTCATTCTCCTTTTGCAAAAGGTAACAAAGAGGCTTTACCTAATAAAAAAATCAAAGATATCGCGACGAGAAGAATAGCAATTGTAACGATTAGCTGATTAGCTCATTTGTCCGCGTGTTTTCTTCTTCTTTTTTTTTTTTTTTTTTTTTTTTTTTTTTTTTTTGCTTCTCGTTTTCGTTTCCTTTTTCGACTCACGTCGGAGCTTGATCGTCCTGGATCGATCAGAAATCGGATGAAATGGAATGAGTCTTGATGTCTATGTAACCGGTTCACCTCTCCTTTCTTTCCATTCTGGTTAAACGTTGTTTGCGGTCGTGCATGCATATGCTTCCCGAGTGTATCGCCTTTATACATGCAAATACATACATACATACATACATACATACGTACGTAGGTGTAATAGCGTTGTGAACGTTAGGCAAATCTTCTCTCTAATCTTGTAAATAACGTAAGCGGGCCAGCAGCAGAGAAATTCGAGAACGGACGAGTTGTATGCAACTGATTCTTTATTCTCCGCAGTCGAGGATATTTCTCTTTCTTTCGACGTCTTCCAATCGTTTGCTTCGCCGGAATTGATTTTCCTTTTTCGCTCGGGATGAACGTCGCGATCCTTTCGAATCGATACGATCGTTTCTGCTACAATTGATTGAAAACATTGTCCTGGAAATGTCGTCATCATGCAATGAAATTCATGCTTGGAAATTCAACGTGCCCCACTTCATTTGGATTATTGTTAGAAGGAAACATTTCGCGAAAAGCCGAGAAACTTTAAAGATTGTTTGGGCCAATTTGTTGTTTTTTTTTTTTTTTTCAACCAACCTTTGATGATTCATTTTAATCTCTAACGTCGGGACATTGTTTCTTTCAAGCTGTAAGTACAGTGTTAAACTGTAATGTATACGTAAATGGCAAATAATTGCAAACGATAACTTCCGCACGATCGGTCGACACAACGAAATTTACAATTCGGTTTTTCTGTATATTTCAAGGTTATTAGTAAAGTGGACAATGCATCGATAATACAATTTACTTTTTAAGGTACACGAAATTATCAAGAAATTCTATGATACACAGTAAATTTACTTTGTAAGAAACGGCGAAGCAAACGACGATAATTGTCATTGTTAATTGCCACTACTGTCCATATAAGTATGTACATATTTGTACGATTATGTAATATTTATATAGTTATATAATATTTTAATTATGTAATATTTGTATAATTTAATTACATAATTATATTTTAATTTTAATTATACAATATTTATACAGTTTAATTACATATTTATATAATATTTTAATTATGTAATATTTATATAATTTAATTACACAATTATATAACATTTATATTATTTAATTATATAATTATGTAATATTTATGTAATTTAATTATATAATTATATCATATTTTAATTACGTAATATTTATACAGTTTAATTACATAATTATATAATATTTTAATTATACAATATTTATATAATTTAATTACATAATTATATAATATTTTAATTATACAATATTTATATAATTTAATTACATAATTATATAATATTTTTAATTGTGTAATATTTATATAATTTAATTACATAATTATATAATATTTTTAATTGTGTAATATTTATATAATTTAATTACATAATTATATAATATTTTTAATTGTGTAATATTTATATAATTTAATTACATAATTATATAATATTTTTAATTGTGTAATATTTATATAATTTAATTACATAATTATATAATATTTTTAATTGTGTAATATTTATATAATTTAATTACATAATTATATAATATTTTTAATTGTGTAATATTTATATAATTTAATTATATAATTGTACAATATTTATATAATTTAATTATATAATTCTACAATATTTATATAATTTAATTATATAATTGTACAATATTTATATAATTTAATTATATAATTATATGATATTTTAATTTGATAATATTTAAACTTAAAATGCAACAAAACGTTGTGCCGTAGGATTTGTCCCGCTATACTTGCAAAACGTGCGTCGTCTTTTTTGAAAAACTTATTTTCCTTGCCTGCAACAGCTGTTTCGAACTGTGTCCAGATACTTATGGGATGGTAGTGCCACACGCTCGCGAATTTGAAAACGAGTGCCGACGATGCAGTATGCAGAAAAGAAAGCGAAAGAAAGATAAATACGAACTTTGCTGACAATGTATATATGTACACGTGTATATGTACATGTCGCATCGTGTGACATTTAACTTTCAATCGGTGTAACGTTGATGTGTACAGCGATTCGTGCGAGCCTTTCGATCAAGTTATTTAATTTTAAATCACTTGGCTTTAAATTTGTATTTTAGAATATAAGGAAAGGTTGATTGTTGTCGTTATTTTGTGACTCGACGCTACAAAGTACATTTTACTAGAGTTGGAGTCCCTTTTAAAAATAAATTTTTAACCAGAAACGTGCACGATTAGAAGCCGCCACGACGGATGATTGTTCGAAAAGTATTTCTCGTGCAAAAATGAAGGTAGCGTCGTTTTCTTTTTGCGGAAAGAATTTTCAACGTGAATGAAAGTCAGCTGGTTCAAGTAAGGTTTGATCAGTGTTAAATTGGTACATAATATTTATATAATTAAATAATTACTAATTTAAATTATTATATAATATAATTATTGTATAATATTATCAAATATTATATATAAACATAAATATTATGTAATATATATTTGAAATTATTATGGATGGTAGTGCCACACGCCAAATTTAATTATATTAAATATTATATATAAATATAAATGTTATATAATATTTAATTATATAATAATTCAAATCTTATATATAAATATAGATATAAATATTACATAATATTTAATTATATAATAATTCAAATCTTATATATAAATATAAATATAAATATTACATAATATTTAATTATATAATAATTCAAATATTATATATAAATATTATATAATATATAATATTTAATTGTATTAAATATTATATAATAATTTAAATTATTAAACTTTTCTTTTCATGTTGACTTTTCTTTTCTCTTAAGATATCACATTTTTTGCACCTCCATGGTAGCGATGTCCGACAACAACAATCATAGTCATTCTTCACGTTCTTCTAGTTTCTTGGTTGCATTCATGTAGACGTGAAATATCTAACCCTGTCCTCATCCAATCCACTTTGCATATTTCGATGCGCCCACGAGATTTCTTCACATTTTCGAACGAAAAGTAAATTCACGAGCGAAAAATAATTAGAAGAAACAATTTCGCAGCGCTCTCGTCGTCAAAGTTTGTCAGTTGCAAAAGGAAAAAGAATTGCATCGGACGATGAAGCGATCGTTTGAAACGGATGTTTATTTTACGAAATCGTATTGTACCAAGTATATCGAGATCTTTTACAAAAAAAAAAAAAAAAAAGAAAATGGTGACTTCTTCACTTTTGCACGGAACAACTCTCTCGAACAACCTTCGTAAAAGGTCCATAGAAAATGGAAACACACTTTTCTCGTTCTTTCCTTTTAGCTCATTTGCTTGATAAAATACTGGTGTGTATCGTATGAAAGATGATTATGTTTATTATTTGTAACAATATATTTTATACTATAATAATTTTATTACTTGTAATAATATAATTATAATTATTATAATTATAATTATTTGTACCTAAATGGCAAGTTTGTGAGAACGAAATCCTTGAAAACGTTCAAGAGCAATGTTTCACGTGTACAACTAAATGTAAATCCGTGAATGTATGAAATACGTACGGAAATAATTACGTGTCCAAAAAAAGCGTCGCTAAAGTGACGCTTATCTAAAGCTCTTTCAGAGATTTTTAAGTATCTTTAATCCTACGAAAGTCACAAGGACAAACCTTGTTTATTGTGTTTGAAATGTGTTACGGTTTCCACTCTTGCGAGGACTAGAAGATTAGATTTCAATCAGATGCAATTTCCTGCGTGTGATTCGCGAATTTGAAAACTTTTAATTGATAAATTTCTAAACAATACGCGCAAGAAATATGATCAGAAATTAACAGCTGATCTTTGCTTGCGATTTTGTTTAAAAATCTCATTTGTAACAAGATCAGATCGATTGCAATCTCCGAAGGGGGGGGGGGGGTTGTTAAACAAGACAGATAATTTCAAGAAAATCCTGTTCGCTCTGTAGCGTGTCCTTACATTTACATTTACGTCGATGGAAATACTTGTTTCTACAGTTGTTACCAAAGATGTTCTTTTTCCAATTGTACTCGGTGCTGTACATGAACGCCACCGACTGTGACGTTCATTTACATGATGTGATTGTGGTTGATTCTTTGAATATTCAACTATACTTGAGAGGAACGAGAGCCTCTTCTCTCTACCTTTTGTAAGCTTGTCAAGCTGCACGCGACGCGAAGAGAATGAAGAACGTGTCACACATATCTCCAAAGTATCAAAAAAAAAAAGAAAAAAGAAGGAAACTTGACTGATGATCGAACGCGGTAGAGACACTGGCCGTGAAAGTGTTACTCGAGCAGAAAACGAAGGACTGACTGGGTTTGACAAAGTTTGAGAGAGAGAAAAACAGAAGAAGGAAAAACTCCGTTGTCCGACCGCCCCCGTTAGAGAAACCTTAGACTTTAGCGAAAGCGTAATCAAAAGTATGTTAATCGTGTACTTAAAGAAAGAAAAAAAAAAAAAAAAAAAAAAAAAAAAAAAACAGATTACCCGAGTTTTGCATAAAAACTATTCACGTACTGATTTACATGTATTCGTATTACATTAAGGAACTAAGGAATATCCAGATACAGTAAGTTTATTAAAGAGAAACTTTCGTTGTCCTTTGATTTGCACATTTGCGCCACCTTTGCGTGCAATTACTCGAGGCTCGAGTAAGGTGCGACGAATTATTATTATAAGCAAACACGTAAAAGACAAATAAACGATGCATAAAAACGTTTGATCTCCGAGAAGAGAACTCACGGTATTATTCACCCCCCCTTAGAACTGACAATACGAGAATTACAGGACCACCACATGAACGGATGTCTCCAACTGTTCTAATTTTTCTAAATTTTCAACGGCTGTTCAAACGATATTTTTTTTTCTCGCTTGTCAAAGAAAGGTTTTTTTTTTCTAATTTTAAAGCAATTTATCGTCACATTCTGCGACAGAAACACAAACGAAACAATTCGTCAAGATTAGTATGCAAAGTCCCAGTTTGGAGAGTTTAGGTTAGGTTTAGGTTAGGCTTAACTTTGAACTTTTGAAATTGAAAAACGGGGAAGAGTCGTAACAATTAAATCGTCAATCTCGAGGAATAATTCACATCATTGACACGTATTCACTGCGAGGAGAAACCTTTCCCGACAACTCGGGACTTGCTTTCTTCGCGTAAACAAACATAGACCACTAATCATTCTAATCGTGTTCTAATTGAAGATTGAAACTCGAACATGCGAGCAGAAAAATTTACGACGTTAAATGAGAACCCCATGCGTTTCTTAATGTTTTCAAAAATTTCCGTTTGACGTAGATTAATTTATTACGAGAAGCAGCAGTTCCCTGAAGATAGATATGAAATTTTGAAGGGATTGCTAATTCAATGATCTTTGAAATCGGAAAATATGAAATGAATTTGAAATAATTCAGTACACATGTCGATTGATGAACTGTTTGCAGAAGAAAGGAAATTAGATTACGTTGCAAAATTTTTCACCTTGAAACTTTACGTACTTGTAAAATAAAATTGCTTATAGTTGCTTATAGTCAAGTCTTCTAATAGTTTTTCTTTTAACAGAATCACATAATTTTCAACGCATTAATAGGTGCTTTAACAGATATTAGATAACTCCATTTCTATTATCATTATCCTCTTTTAGAAGAGATAATAATAGATAACTCCATTTCTATTATTATCATCCTCTTCTAGAGGAGGATGATAATAATAAACTACGTTTATTGTCTTGCAAAAACAAAAAATAAAAATAAATAAGAAAAAGAAACAAACATTGGGAAAAACTAAATTTGTTCTGCATTGTGTGCCATTTCTTACCTTTCATTCACAAGTTACAACTTTGAACGAATAAAGTTGTCTGTGGAAGCACGTCAGAAGGAACAAATCGTAAGATATAGAACAGATCAAAATATCAAATATCAACGTGTTTAGAAAAATCTAATCCATCTGGTAATTAGATCAAAATTCATCATTTGGTGATGGTGGAAAACGCCTACGTACACTCGTATGTTATCTACAAAATATTTTAATCGTAATATTAATTAATAATATACAGATTGTAAATAACTAAACAATAAAATATGCTGCAACAAGTTCTTTCACTTTTTACTTTTCTGTCTATATCTCTCCCTCTCATCCTCAGTCACCCCCTCACTTATTCACTCATTCATTCATTCATTTGCTCACTCAATCACTCATCACTCTTTACTTTCGTCATGCGTTGTCGAAAATTCTTTTTCAGTCTATCATTAAAAAAAAAAGTCCGACAGGAAGCCGAGAAAGGCACGGTAGAATTTTAATTAAAAACGTGGTGTTCCTATTTTCATAATCGTTTCATCTATCTCTTTCACAGCTTGTTAACAAATGACATCACATACACGTTGAGCTTCCTTCAATTCACGGAAACTCAGAAACCAAAGAGAAGTAGAGAGACGGAAAAAAAAAAAAAAAAAAAAAAAAAAAGAAAANAAAAAAAAAAAAAAAAAAAAAAAAAAAAAAAAAAAAGAAGAAGAAGAAGAAGAAGAAGGGAAAGCTAAGAGACGATAAAACGAAGGAAGAGAAGGGGGCAGAAAGCACCATTTTAAAAGACATGTATGTTTCACACGTGTATGTAGAAACACATGTATGTAGCAACCTACCTACGAATAGTCGGAACGGATTAACGAATCGAGCAACTGGTGAGAAAGAAATTCCTCTTGTCTCGAAGCAACGTGGTGAACATGTATCTACACACGTCGCAGAGTTACACCGTGAAAAGAACACAAACGGCGACAATGATTTTGAACGATAGTACTAGTGGTAGTAATAGTAATAGTACTAGCAGTATTAACAATAATAATAGAAAAAGAATCATAATAATGATAGTAATAATAGTAGTAGCAATAGTAGTAGTGGTAGTGGTAGTAGTAGTAGTAATAGTAATAGTAATAGTAATAGCAATAGTAGTAGTAGTAGTAGTAGTAGTAGTAGTAGTAGTAGTAGTAGTAGTAGTAGTAGTAGTAGTAGTAGTAGTAATAGTAATAATAATAATAATGTGATAATAATAATAATTTTCATTAGCTCTCATAACACATTTTTTTTCCTTTTTCTCTTCATCTTGATGCCCGTTGCTGTTTTCTCATACAAATGTCCCCTCACGCAGCATCATCGTCTTTTATAACATTGTTGCTTAAGCCTCTCTCGAGTACATGCACAATTCTGCGCTTTCTTCGCTGTTGCATTTTATCCGTCCTTTCGGCAATCTATAGCGAATCTATCGTACATCGTATTAAAAAATTCTTATGTTACAACTTGTAAATATCATATTTCTATCGTACAATAAAGCTCGTTCGTGGCGCTATTCCCTAATATTTTACCATTGTGCTCGTTCTAGAGTTCAATTCTCTCTCTCTTGTATGTCTTACAGTTTCAATCTTTATCCATCTTTATTGGTTGATCGCAATTTGCATTCACTATTCTAAGGAATACATGGCAACAGAAACAGAAAATTTACAAAATATACAGGGCGCCGATCGAATCTTGAAAGCCTCCTGGAGATATCAATTGAGAAGATTTTTAAAACAAATATAAAAGTAATTTCAAAAGGAAATAAAGCAAAATTCAAAGATTCTAAAATGTCGATCGTTGTCGACGATAATTAAAAAAATTTGAAACATTTTTATCGTTTAGTTTTGAACTATCTCTTCTCGTTGATAATTCCTAGACAAGGTACTTTCAACTTTCGTTATCCGAAATGTTTACGTCGACGCATTTTCTAAGAATTCGCTTGAAACAAGTGATTTGCGTTTCTCGTGCTTGGAAAAAAAAAAAGAAAAGAAAAGAAACTTCGGCAGCCGCTTCAACCAGCTGGATAGCACGCGTTCTTCTAACGCACGAGTCCATTTCTTTTTTTTCTTTTTTTTTCTTTTCCTTTTTTCCTTTTCTTAACGAAATAATCATTAAATATCGATATACTTTAATCTCGAGGCGTATAAAAATAATAATACTATCAATCTGGCGTAGTAAATACACAATGTTATCAAATTCTCAAAGTATATGTTTAAATAATCACCATAAGGGGCGGAGAAAATTATTTATGTATGTATATCGTACAAACAATAATTTCCTTTCGCGAAGGCATCCCAACGTTCACTCATTTTTCGAACAACTGAAAAGAACAGTTCCTACGACCTATCGTCTTTATGTACACGGGAATTATCGTCTTGCGGTCAACGTAAACGTCTACGAGAGAAATCGTGTGAGTTGATCGACTCGCGCGTACGAAAAAAAAAAAGGGAGAAATTGGAAACCTCGGAAATCGTCGAACGTAATATCGATCGTAACGCTGCAGTCTGACAAATTACATAAACACTATTATTATCGTCATCTCACATCTCGTGTTAATAACAGTTACACACTTTTGCTTATTCCTCTCCTAAAGACCCTCCAAAGTCGTACAACTCGTTTCCTGGTGAACCTCGTTCCTTGAATTTTCTTTCGGTTTTCATTCGAGTTCCATCGTCGTCAGAATACGATTAAAGGCACGTTTGATTCCTTCAACGAACATGTACCTACGAACAACGATCGATACAAGTAAAAATGTCAACGAACTTTTGGCTTTTCGTTGAGAATCCTTGTATTCGTTAAAAAAAAAAAAAAAAAAGAAAAAAAGAAAAAGAAAGAAAAAATTGGTAACAACGTGTTTTTGCGTATATTCGGATCGGATAGTTTGAAGACACGTGAACTCTTCATCATCTTCCAAGTGAACGTGGAACGTTAAAAAAATTGTCTTTGCACGTGTGACATTCCCATGTGGATCATTCGCCTGAGCAACTGATTGATTTTTATTTACGTTTAAATTGAAATTGATCGATTAAGAAGGACGTCGGAGCAACGAGTTCCAATCGATTGTTATCGGCACTAGCTAAGGTCACTTGCCCATGCTGGCATTTGCTGGCAGGGTCGCGGATCGTTGTTGCACCGATAAATATGGCTTCAAGGTAGATCTCGTGGACTCTCTGAAACGTGCAAATCGTTAGAGACACTCGATGAAACACTCGACTTTCTTGGTGGATTTTTACCCTCACATTTATCAAGAAACATCACGAGTACTATAATATGAAACTATAATATGAAAAGGACAAAAAGAAGTAAGCTCCAAAAGCAGAATAACATTTTTTTTTTTTTTCTTTTTTTCTAAGATAGTAAGAATAGATGTTAAAGCCCCATTAAAAAAAAAAAAAAAAAGTATTTGCATTGACGCTGACAATGATATTGTAAATCTTGTATTTAGAATTACTTTTAAAATTTTTAGACTTTTCATCGACAATTCAACAAGAAACAATGCGCTATAAAAAGTAAAATACATTTCGTTATTCTGTGTGTTTCGTGTTTCTTAATTATTACCATGCAATTCTTGAAAAGGAACAAAAAGCTATATAAACACTCTGAAATTATGACATAAAAATAATCTCAAACTATAAAAAAGCAACAGATTCAATTGCTGAAAATCTCAAATAAAAAAGATCTAAACAAAGTATCTGAACAAGTGCACGTACAAAATATATTTCAATTTTAATTTGTAACATTCGCAAGTTAATTTCGATGCGTTATTAATTCCTCGACTACTGTAATTTTCGCTAATGCTGCACAAAATTAAAAATTTTTAAAGCAACATTGTATATTTATTGAAAAACATGTTTGAAGCAGCAGCAAGATGGAAATAAAATGAACAAATGATCGCTTTAGGTGAAAACATATGCCAACGTTTAAGCGCATGCAAACGAGAATTGAATCGTATCGACAATGCTCTATTCTAATTTTTAAAAAATATCAAACAAAAAACCAGCATCTCGCAACAATAATAACAACAACAGAAAAAGACAGTCGAAGCAATCGCGTCGATTCCTCTAAAGTTAAAACAATTGTACAACACACTTGACAAGATCATCCAAACTGTTTTTATAATACGTTTACAAATTAGAAACAAATATGTATAACATGTGTTTTAGATTGCTTTATACACACACACACATATATATATGCATACATGTGGCAATCTAAAATATAATCAACAATGAGACGTTACGTTACATTATTTTTTTTTTTATTTATATGAGCACAATGCACTTATGGAACCTTACCAACAGTGTCTTTCTTTCTTTCTTTCTTTTTTTTTTTTATTTCCATATTCGTCAAAAGTGCAATTGTCTGTGTCAAATTGTCTGCATGGATGTAGAAGTGCAAGAAAAATCAAACGACTCTAACCTCGCTAAACCCAATCATGCGATGCCACAATACAAGAGAACTACTTAGTCTCCGGCTACGTTGAGGCGCACTGCTACGCTACCTTGGCGAGACACGTTGCCCCGTGCCATCGACGTGCGAGTTCGCTTTATAGCCACATTTTTGCACACGTCTAGACAGTCTTGCAACCCAGTATTTTTGTTCGTCGGGACTACCAGCCAGAATCAATAGTTCACGAGCACTGTTTGGATCGTAGTGCAATTTACACGGTGCTATGGCATCTTCCTTTTTGTCCAAATGCTCTTTGTGAACTTTTATACGACACCCTGTACAGTATAAAAAGTATAACAACACAGTGTTAAAAATAATTCAGGAAACGATTTCAAAAGTCAGGGAATATCTTCAAAATATCATTTGATATCAATGTACAAGCAAAATAAAGGTTTGGAAACGATACGTTCGAAGCTAATAACTTAATAAAATTATGAGAAATATCTTTCCATACTTACTTCGGCACTCCAGAGCAGGTGGCGGTCGAAACATGTGCCACAATTGTTTTGAGCATACCTCGCAAGTGGTTGGCATGTGATACGATATAGACACAAATTCGTGACCTTTCAACGATTGCGTGCCTGGTTTGTCTGTGAGTTGTGGCAGTTCCACTCCGGGCAGTGTGTTTCCTTCGTCACCAGGACGTCTTGCTTCGCCTTCGCCAGCATATAATAACTAAACGAGAAAGGAAATATGTTTCTACATGTGTATAAATTTATAATTAGTTAAAAAGGATTAAAAATATATCTCAAATAACTGAAATCTGAGAGGATCCTTTTTCTAAACCAGAACACGTATAATTGAGTTAATTTTGAAGCGAAATCAAACGAATCGAACACGTGTACTTCAAGAAAAAAGAGAAAAATTGATTTTAAATCAGAATATTCCTTCATCTATGACAAAAGGGAACGAAACAATAAAAAAAAAATCCGAGTTCTATTTGAGTTTTCTTGCTTTACGTTTTCTAAATCATATACGAAAGACAGCTAAAGAACTGCAAACACGTCCATCCATCTTTAAAAGATGGCTCGTAATGAATGTCTCTACATTGTACAATTCTCGGTAAATCAAATTGGAAACTCAACGTTAAACACTCGCAAGCACACTTTTAAATTAATCACTTGTGAAATAAATCGTCTGCTCGTCTTAAATATCTAATGTAGATAAAAAATTGTAGATTGCTAGAGTCAAGAAATAGAAAACTAGAAAACTGTTAAACGTGTTATCTACCTGGAAAATTCTCGGAATATCTTTGGCATCAGCTCGGATGACATCACCCTGAGTAACAGATCTAACGTGGAAGACTTTGTTCAAATCCAATATCAAGACTGGATCGGCATTTAATTTATCATTTTCGCTATTGTAAAATATGATCTTCTTCGAGGAAACGACGACGTATTGTTTTTTCCATCCGTGCCTTTTAATGTTCTGTTTGTTTGGCACGTTTAACCAACCTTCCAGTCGCATAGTTCCGTGTTCCGACAACACGGAATCTTCTCCGTCATTTTCTACGGACGAAACGCTAGCGGTTTCCGAATTGAGCGAGGCGATTTTCATTTGTAAAGTTTCTATTTCAGAATCCTTCGAATCGAGTTCCATTTGTAACCTCAATTTCGCTTGATTTTCCTCCACCAATTGTGCCTGTAGAAACAATGCAATTATGTTAGAAACAATACACGAGTGCAATTCACAAAAACAAACAACATTCAGTACTTTACTCACTTGTATATCTTGCAAATCTTTTTGCCACTTAGCTGCCAATTGTCCGTACTTTTCTCTCTCTTGAGTAAGCTCCTGTTGCAAACGCCTGCAATCTTTCTCCTTCTTTCTTAAATCTGCTGCAGAAGCTTTGTTCTTGGATTTACCGCTTGAAGATAGATCTTTCCTGTTCATAATCTCTGCCAACTTGTTAACCGCTTGTTGTTTCAACAGTTGCTCAGTTTTTAATTTACTGCCGAGCTTCTCTATCTCTTCGCTATTAGACTGAGCCTTAGAAAGTTGATCTTGCAGTTCCTTGAATCGTTTACTCAAGTCTTCTTTCTCTTTCAGATACTGATCAACGTTCTTCTTAAGTTCGCTTTCACTGTCTTTAAGCCGATTTATAATTTGTTCCTTTGCGTTCAGTTCTTGATGATGCTTGGCTACTCCGTCTTTGTACTCCAGTTCCTTCATTGTTCGTTCCTTTTCGAGATCTGCCACAGTTTCTTCGGCTATCGATCTTGCCAAAGCTTCGCTGTCTCCTCTTGCTAGAGACAATTGCAACTGATGCACCAAAGAGCTACGTTCTTCTTCCAATTCTTGCTGCAATCGTATTTTTTCGTCGAGTTCTTCCCGAAGTTCTTGCGTCTGCGTTTTATAAAGTGTCTAGAAAAGGAAAAGAAATAACGAGTTCAGATTGACGACGCACGACATATCGAGAGAGAGAGAGAGAGAGAGAAATAACAGCCTGCCTGACGACAGTTTGCGTGAAACGCGAATTTACCGAAAAATAAGCTTCAGCCTCCAATTGTTCTTGCAATTCTTTCGTTTGCAATTGATCCACGTTTCTTTGAGTTTTCAAGTGATGTAATTCTTCCTCTATTTGACGTTTCGCTTCTCTCAGCTGAGCAACTTCACCGGCTAATTGCTGTTCCCTAGCACGTAATCGACCCGCTTCAGAAGACTGCTGTGCCAAGTCAGTCTGCAGAACGTTTCTTTTCTGCTGTTCTTGTTCAACCTGACCTTGCAGCACTTTTACCTTTTCAACTTCTTGTCTGTGTTCACCCTCCAGTTTCTGTAATCGCTGTTGAATCTGCCGATAATCCACAGAGAGCATAGACGTTTGCCTTTCTTTTTCTTGCGCGAGCAGTTCAGCGCGTTGCCTTCCGCTTTTTTCTTCGTTTAATTTTGCTTGTAAAGCTGTTGATGTTAGATTAATGTACATGTATATATACATAATACATAACTGACTATAAATTGGAAAATTTAAATGTAACAATATACATACATAAATAGAGATACCATCGAGCGCGAGCATTCCGAAATTTAAAAAATTGCAATTAGTGATAAAATGGGTCAAACATGAAGCAAGCGAAATAGCGATCCAGTACGTGAATGATACAATGAAATTTTTAAAACTCAAAGGGAAGTGCGTAACGTTCAAATTCGACATAAAAGGGAAAAGCCTCACATGTGCCTATCGTTAGAGAATCTTGAAACTAACACTGTGAATAAAATTACCTTTAACAACTTCTAAATTAGCTTCTTCTTTGGACAGTATGCGTGAACGTTCCGTTTCTTGATGAGCTACCACTTCTTGATTGTACCTTGCTTGTGCAGCTTTTAACTCGAGAGTTAAGCCCGCGGCTTCTTTCTCCAATGTTGAGATTTTTTCAGTCAATTGTCTATTATCCACGAGCGCTTTCTCCTCTTTCTCGCGACTGTGTTCGAGTTCCACGTGAAGAGCAGAGAGTCGGCTCTCCAATTCGGCAGTTAACGATGACGCTTGCGATCGAGAACTACGCTCTTTCGACAATTGCCCCTGAAAAAAAATTACATAGCATAGAAATATCATTTGTTTACGAGCATCACCGGTTATTTCCGACAGAGCGGGGAGAGAGACAAAGAGAGAGACTTACTTGCAACGTAGCCACTTCCTGCTGCAAGTTATCTCGTTGCGCTTGCAATTTCGCTCTTTCCATTTGCAACTCGTTTGCCATTTGTTCAGCAGCTTGGCGAGCCACAGTGATCTCGGTAGTTTGTTTCCGTAACCTCGTTACTGTCTCCGTTTCTCTTTCCAACTTTGACTGCATTTCTTTAATCTGTTTCTCTAAACTCGTCACACGTTCGGAAGTTTGTTGCGAATTACTCGCATCGCGTGCTCTTTTTGTTTGCTCCTCGTCGTACTTTTTTTTCAATTCCACGATTAGCGACTCTGCTTTCCTACGCAATTCAGTTTCATGCTCCATCCTGCGTTGCGCTTCTTTGTAATTGTGTCTCAGTAAGGTCAGCTCTTTGTCCGCTCTACCAATTTCTTCGCGCAACTCGGTTTCCCGACGCGTCATGGCTTCCAATTGCGTCGTTAAAGCTTTCTGCCTCGATTCCAAAGATTCCACTTGTCTCTTTTCTTTATCCAACAAGTTTTCTAATTGAGAGATTTTAATATCGTCGTTTGTACCATTATTGATATGATTTTCCAGTCCATCTACAGACTCCTTGCCGTTACAACCCATCAACTGATAATCTTCAGAGTATGTAAAACCAATAAATGGTAAATGGTTGCCAGAGAATGCTTTGGGTACTGGAAAACTCTCCTCTGGTCCGTCCTCTTTGTCGACGTCTTCAAAATTGCTCGTGTCGTCATCGCCGGAGAGTTCTGGCACGACGGGAGGCACACATTCTCGTAAATTTTCAAATGTCCATTGATCGTTTTTAAAAAAAGGGTGGCTTTTTATTTCCTCCACGCCGTTTCTACCCAAACGTTTCGTTCTATCCGTGAGAAAACCGCATATCAAATTCTTGGCAGAATGAGAAATGTCAACCTCTTGCGGGAAATGTAATGAATTTCTGTGATCCATAATCTTTGAGTACGTCCCAACCAGTGAGTCTGCATAAAACGGAGTATCGCCGACGAGCATCTCGTACAAAAACACACCAACCGACCACCAATCACATTCTCTTCCGTATACACCTTCACCACCTTGAGACTGAAGTACCTCGGGTGATATGTAATCAGGTGTACCTACCGCAGTATCGGATCGTACAAGACCGTCCTAAAACACATATACGTGACATATTTTTCACGTGACACTACGTTTATACAAATTTGATAGAAACGAGAGATACACGTACGACATCCATCCTCATACAAGTGCCAAAATCTGCAAGTTTCAAATGACCATACTTGTCCAGCAACATGTTGTCTGGCTTTACATCTCTATGAACAAAACCCATGCGATGTATCGCGTCCAACGCAAGCACCACTTCTGCGCAATAAAATTTCGCCCATTTCTCTGGCACATCGTAATTTGACATTAAATTCACTAAATCACCGCCAGGCATATAATCCATTACCATGTAAAGATATTTTTGATCTTGAAATGCAAAATGAAGCTGAACTATCCACTGAGAATTCGCATGTGCCATTATATCACGTTCTTCCCAGAAAAAAGCCGAATCTGATCGTTTGATCTGCAAAATTTGCAAAAATGAAACAACGTCGTGCAATATCGTACATGTAAATTAATCATTTGCAATACGATTTGTACGTTTATTACCATTTCAAATTTACTGAGTAATTTCATAGCGTATACTTTTTGCGTAGATTTATGTCTTACTAACTGTACTTCGCCGAATGATCCACGACCAATCACTTTTATCAAAGTAAAGTCGTCTGTATGCATTCGCATTTTACAAATATCTTGAGCTACCGAGTCATCTAAAAATATAAATGAAAAATTATCATGGACACATTTCAATAATAATATCAATAAGTATATGAACATGTATTGTTCAGTCCAGTCAATTCTATATGAAATAACTATTCTATAGTGATTTACTTTCTAATAACAAAATTCCCAAATTTTCTTCACAGTGAAATGACAAAGTACATGTTACTTTTTATTTGAGTTTATTATGTCGTTTAATACTTACATCTATTCGTATATGCTTCTATATTTTTCATACGTTTTACGCTGGGATGATCACAATCTGCCACCAGGGCTTGAACCGTATCCAACAAGCAGTCGATATTTGTGATGCTCTTTGGATCTTTTATACGTTCCTCCAGCACCCTCAGGCGCCTGCGCCTGTCTTCGTCTCTTATTACATCCATTTCTCTCCAATTAGAAACTAGGAATAATTTCCTTTGAAAATGTAATATACTTTTTATGCATCAAAAGCAATGCAACCGACACAAGAGGCTACATGTAGTATAAGCACGATTTATGCACTGCTGCAATACTGGATGGGCAGTCCATGTTTCCTAAAACAAGTGAGAAAGACAGTGCTAAAATATTTCTAGTGATTACGCAAACATTACACAAACATAATTATTACTATCATAAAAATTACACAAACATATCGATTACATAAACATAATTATTACTATCATAAAAATTTACATAAACTGCAAGTGACTTTTTTTTGATCCATAACAAAATAAAATTGACATACTTTTAGACAACATAAAGATATAATTGTGAATGGTCATAAAATCAAATCAAAAATAATATAAAAGTTTAACAAAATCACTTTCACATGCATTCCGTGAAAAGCAAGTTAATTAAATGAGATGCAAAGATATAAAGTACAACAGAATACACAGTGCACGATGACTCAACGCGATTTACATGCCGAGATAATCGAGAAACCAATGGTCAACGACGAATATTCAATTATTTGGAAAGAAACGGGTTCCCCTAGGCTAACATTCGTCGTAAGTGTATCGCGTTTGAATTTATCACCAATAGAATTTTACCAATTCACCTCGTCACTCTCACGTCGAGAAACGTTTGCACAGTAAAAATCAGCGGATGATAAAAATTGTCCAACAAATGTAAATTCGATATTTGCATTTCGGTAAAGATTTCAGCGAGAAACGAAAAAAATTGGCAAACAGTCGATATAAGAAGTCTGTTGAAGAAGGAGGCTCGCGGGGTGCCAAGGTGGATCCCGTGCAGGTAGGTTTTGCACTTCAGGGTCCGTCACAAAGGATTTCCCAGGTATCCCCGTTAGTTGCCGCGGTTGATCGATTAATATCAGAGGAAAATTCGTTCCAACATACCTAATGTCACGAATATCTTCGTCCAGTGTTCCGTCTAATTGAATAAAAATACTACAAAATGCATTGTCTGTCTGCATGAATCGGTCGCGACTGCACACAGCTGAGCCGTGCATGCGCCATTGAGAAAATTCACAACGGTCGTCAAAAGCCTCGAACGAAAACTTGTAGATCCAGTTTTTTTTCCAGATTCGGCGTGCAACGAGCGGGGAGTTGAATCGTCGAATTTTACTCGCGAAAAACCGGCGCCTACTCTCGACTACGCGAGACTCCTGCGTGATTCGATTTGAAAGTATACAGCAGCATTATCGACATGATTTTTTGGTTATTCGCCACTGTGCCCGACACTGTGCTCGCGAACGTGTACGCTGTATCCCGAAAATTGACAACGTAAAGATCAGCCGCTGTCTCTCTCTCTGTGCGTATAAATGTACATGTGTATTTATTTGAACGAAATGGAACTCGAGAGGTGCCGCGGATAAAAACTACGTCGGAAGTCGCCAAGTTGACGGAACGTCAACGACTTCGGAAAAACGATTGTAATGGATTGTTACGGGCATAACCAAGATGGCGTAGTGTTCGACGCATCAAGTGAGATACAAGTTTTTGCGCTTGGACCGTTCGCTTGTAATTTAAGATTTCTTTGATTAATCTGAGAACCGTTTTCAAGGTTGTGGCACCAAGCGAATCACGCAATCGAAATCCGTACGATGGACCGTGTGTTTCTGTAATGTGGAAAAATCCTTGATTTTCCCGCGCGTATTTTGATGCTCGTTGAACATTTCTAAGGAACATCTTTTTTTTAGCGCCGTTTCTATCATATTTTCTACTTGCAGCGACGACACATATCGCAAATAGACATATAGGTACGTATATTTGTCAAACTTGTGTGTTAAAACACTGTCTCCTTCTTTTTCGCAATATTTAGATCTCTTCCTAGCGATTAATTCTCCCGTTGTCGTTTCTCTATTCTCGCCTTTGTTGTTGCAGTTTTGGTCTATCGTAATTACGTGAGAAAAGTAATTTATTCTCACGTAAGAGTCATTCTGAATTCTGCAGAAAAATGGATCTGCCCTGTGATTGGCAGATCAACAAAGAGAATCTTTTGGAACGCAGTCAACATTTATTGGAGACAGGACAGTGGTCCGATTGCAGATTTGTTGTTGGACAAGAACCCCATCAACAAACATTGAAAGGACATAAATTATTTTTAGCAATGTCCAGTCCTGTCTTCGAAGCTATGTTCTTCGGGGGCATGGCGGAGAAAAATGACATGATATCAATTCAAGACGTTCAGCCAGAGGCTTTTAAGGCTCTCTTAGAATACGTATATACAGATCGAATTCATCTAAGTTCTTTTGAACTAGCCTGTGAATTATGTTATTGTGCCAAAAAATATATGCTTCCTTCTCTGGTAAAAGAATGTACAAAATACCTATGTTCTGATGTGTCTCCGAGAACAGTTTGCAGAGCGTACGAATTTGCTAGATTGTTCGACGAGCGTGTACTGATTGAAAAGTGTCTTCAGATAATTTGTACAAATACAAACGAGGTTCTGAAACAACCCAATTGGGAGGAAGTTGAATTGGGAACAATATTGACAGTGTTGGAGCAAGAAGAATTGCGAATAAGCTCCGAAGTGGAGTTGTTCACCGCAGTGGAACGTTGGGCAAAAGCTGAATGCACAAGAAAATCTCTCGATCCTAATGACGGAAAGTCTTTAAAGTCAGTAATTGGTAACGCACTATCAAAAATTAGATTTTTAAGTTTAAGCGCTCAGGAATTTGCAGAAGGGCCGGGAATGTCACCATTGCTTACTCAAGATGAAATTTTTGCAATACTCATGAATACGCTGTGTACTGGAAATAAGGCACCTATGCCTGAAGGATTTTCGACTAACTCGCACAGTAGAGCGTATAAACCACCAATTACGCGTTTATGCGCACTTGTAAGTTGAATAGACTTGTCGCATAATAATCCTTCGACTTTCGTTATTCTTCATACAGATTTTATTTTGTAGAGGTACAAGCCGTCACGTTACAGTTCGTACATGACACATTGTTGGCCAACTGAATATTGTGAATCTGATTTTGTCAACAATGCTGAATCCAGCGGTACGTTGCGAGACGTACCGCCATCAGTGATTGAGAGTGCAGTAAGAAGGGAGGCTGAAAATTTGGCTGCTGCATCCGCTGTGGTAATCGAAGGTGGTGTACGAGAGGGATCAAAATATTATTGTCTAAGATCTGTTCTTCGACCAACGGAATGTCTCAATGCAAATGTGTTAGATTGTTCTGTGACATTTAGCGTAGATAAAAATATTTATATATTGGGCGTACAAGTACCTACGCAAATGACTGAACTAGTAAGTTAAATAATATTGAAGACAAAGTGCAACATTCAGACTTTATATTAATTGCCGCATACCATTTTTTTATTGCAGACTAACGACTTGAATCATCCTTTTAGTAGTACTTCATACACTGAAATTTTGTATGCTCATCTCCTCGATTCTGATAATACACGATTAACATACACGCACTTTTCAACAAAAGTAAAGATTAATACTCTTGTGGAAATTACGTTTAATCGGCCTGTTTATATTCAAAAGAATAAGGTACATATATGATTATTTTAAGCATCGTAGCATGGAAATTTTTAAATACTTTTCAAAATTTTTGTTTTTCTTAACTATAGATTTATCGAGTTGGGGTAGTTTTTAACTCGCTTGGCTGGTATCCAATAGGAGTTTGCACCCAGTATATGACCTGTGATACCGTATTCTTCACGTTCGGTGTCGGTAACAGTGCAGATAATGTTCGAGATGGTCTCATTCGATCTATAGTTTTTACATACGACAACGTGTAATACTAGTAACAAAACAGTGTGCTTTATTCTGTTCTATACTATCAATGTGTTGCTGTATCTTTTTACTAAATTGTGTCAACACTGCTATTAAAAACTATATACATAGTTATATTCGTACATATTGGTTCTAGTTATGACGGAAAGTAAATTTGTATAAAACGACTTTTTAATTTGCATAAAACTGTTAATGTTTGTTACATAAATTTAATTAAATAATTAAATTATATTTTACAATTAAATCGATGAATTTCGTGCTAATACGTAATAAATACTTTTGTTTATTATTCTAAAATTAGTATTATCGTGCTAACTAACCGTAATTTTTAAGAAATTGTTATTGTACAAAAGAATGTTATATAAAATAATTAATATTTGAATATAAAAACATAATTATACCAATAACATATAAAACATGGTTTATTTGAGTTATTAAAAACAACTTGTTATTATAGAAAATTATTAAATTATATTCCTTTTATACTTGACAGCTAAAAATATTGCGTAAATATTTCTTTACTTTAATTGAAGTATTTAACACTTTCTTTTCATATGCTAGTGTATTGATATATATCATATTAACAGTGTAACAACATATGTACTAAAGTATGAAATGAAAGTTAAATTATCTGTAATTTGTCTTAAATGTATAATTGTTTACTTTTTTATATAATTTTTATAACGTAAATATAGGACAGATTAAAACATAATTATAGGACTGCGGATTTTTATGGATTTATAAAAAAATTTTAAAATGCAAAATTGTATAGAATGCATGTAATGTAAAAAAATATTCAAAATAGAATACTTTCTATTTATATTAATATTTAGCAAGTAAAATAATTTTTTGCCCAAATTTTATTTTTTCGATTGTGTCCTCAAAAATATGAATTTCAATAAAAATCCACAGTTTAATTACAAGTATTAGAATTTATATCGTATCATATTTATTCGTTTATTATAAAGATTTTATAAAATATAATCAGTCTATATAGTTAAATATATACTTTTTGTAATGTAAAAAAGTAAAAAAATAATACATTTATGTGAATTAAACTTGTACCTTAAACATTGTTCTTACAACAGTTATTAAAATTTGTGCATTATAATATCAATATACAATTGTATATAGGTAATATATATTAAATAATTTTTGATACGAGCAAATAACAATTTTATATATGTATGATATATTTGAAAATACTTTACGTGTTTAGTTGTCTTTTATGTTTTGTGTATAATGAAATCCCATGTATCTTTCCATCGTAACTTTAAAACTTCCTTGGCACTTAAATGAGTTGTACCATAACTAAGTACGATAAACTTTTTAAATATATAAACAATAAAGATCACCCATATAACAGTGCAGAACTTGAACGTGTATACTAAAAAATTGTGCCGACATCGAATTCTAGAAATCAAAGAAACTGTGTTAAATTTTGTTTATAAGCATATTTCTATGAACAAATAAATAAATATAATAAATTGTGCAATTGGAACGATTAATTTTTTTCTTTTTAAGGAAACCATACCATTCTCTTTTTCGAATAAAATGTTAATTTAAAAATATTTTATACATGATCTATCAACATACCTAATTATGTAAAATAGGTGTTCTATCGTTGCTGCTGTAAGCAATAATTTAAACACAAATGCTGGTAAATAATGATGAAGAAACAGAGTCCTTTCAACAAATATAAAAGGCAAAAAGTGTAAGAAATATCCAGCTAATAATGTGCTTCCAATGTTGAAAAATTTGTTCCATTCCTCGTGTGTAATGTCAAAACACATTCGCCTTCGTCTCAATATGTAAAATATTAAAAGAGATGAATATATTACTATACATGCCGTCCCTGAATACCAAATTGCTATATTTCCTAGTAAATGTACTTGGGCCTGTTATAAAAAAAAATATATAAATTATATATATATATTAATAACCAATAACAAATATTGGATTCTAATAAAATCAAATAATGCATATTTACATTACTGTCATTGGAGATCCAGTATGCAATTCCTCTGGACATTAACGGCCAATCTAAAGGATCGCTAGAATACATGTGACTGCTTTGTCCCTCTTGACCACTGAAAAGCATCTTTATTTGCAATTCTACAAATTTCTCCCAAAAACTCAAAGTAGTGGCTTGCAAAGGTATCATTTCTGCGTTAATTAGTTCTCTCTCCCTTTGTTTCTGATCCTCGCTTTTGGTATATCTATGTTCTTCAACATTCCATATGGAATCTGTTTGATCTATTAATCTATCTGCCACTACCTCGTGCTGATTAAAACCCCAATCAGGCAACTGCCTTCCACTGAATTTTAACGCATAATCCGTATTTACGTGTATTAATCGAATCTGGCTTTGAATTGCATGCCAGACATTGCCAGTACTATCTTTGTTGGTAATTTCCACTTTCCAAAAATTTTGAGCAACCATGGATACGTTGTAGTCAATATAACAAGATACTTCTTGACTCTGAGGTGTCATTGGGGCAGCAACATCGTGCGAATTTAACGCTCGACTTGTGATTCCGTGTACTAATTGTATCAAATCGCCATGTTTTATCGGTTCACTCGGTTTGGTAACAACTAGATCATTTCGTTCTGGTCTTTTCACAATCCACCAATTGTTGACATCTTTGAATGAGTAACACGTAACTTGTTGTTGATGAGAACTGCCTCTCCCATCTGGATATCTTAAAGGATACATGTGATTGTGACTGTGAAGCCAACAAGCTCTTCCGTACGTGTGTCTCAAGGTGATTTGCGATCCATGCGTAACTTCCAAAGGTTGGCCTTTTGTAATGCTAGCAAGACCACCATCTAGACTTGCTTGAAAAGCACTCGTCATTACTGAATCGTGTGGTCCAGCTTTAGAAAGTATCGTTAAATGTATGTAAAACACAGTCAAATAAACAGTGAAAATGACACTTAATATTACACATACTCTTATCAAAAGATGAATGCATAATATCGTGTTGGATAAATTTTTTCTTGGTATCAAATTCCAATAATCGTAAGCAATTAGAAATAATGCAAGGATCAACGAGTACAGTCCAACATATTTTACACTGAAAAAAAGATTATGTTAAACGTAAAACAATAGATTTACTTGTAAAACACGATTTAATCAACATATTTAAAGATCTCACCATAATGCGCATGTTAAACTTGCAACACCCAAAGTTAACCATATCCACCAAGATAAACACGTTGGTTGATCCATTACTTTTCTAAATTTCATTATACATATCAAACCAAATAACGAAAACTGCATTAGAATGCTTTCCATTAAAATAAATCTAGACTGCGTTAACAAAGCATTATCTAAAATAATAAATGCATTAACTGATTGTACATTTTGTAATAAAAGCGTAATACAATAAATTACCAAATAACAACAAAGTTCCCGCCAAAGCAGCAGTCCATTGTTTCAGACCTAATTCCAAAATCAAATGATATGCCGTTGGGATTAATAAACTGCCACATAACGCTGGCACTAATCGTAATGCGAATAAAGGGACTACATCCGTATAAGGACTTCCTATTCTGTCAAATTTAAATTGGCCATCGAAACCAGCCAAGTATGCTACTGCAGAAATCAGTTGTTTTCCCAAAGGAGGATGTGAATCAAAAAAGAATGTCCTTTTCATGTAAAGTCCTATATATTTCCCATAGTGCAGTTCATCGAATCTGTTTTAAATAGCATCAATAATTAATATAAAATCGCATGACGATTGTATGTATGTGTAAATCGACGACAATCTTTATTATTAATTAATGATTAGAATATTTACATTAGAAAACAATGTAAGTATAAAAAAATAACACGAATATATACATAAATAATACAAATACAAAGAACAACCTACACAATACTCCGTGGCTCTTCCAAACGATAAAATCGAGTAATAATTCCAGTTGCTAGTAAAACAACCGAAATTAAATCAACCTCGAGACTGATTTTAATTCGAGTTTTCGGCGCTGTATTCGCTGGAACTTCCAGCGTTTTGGAGTTTTCACTTACATTTGCAGCAATTTTTTCGTCTTTCTGTTAAAAAAGTAGATTGTGTTATAAGTATGTATACATATACTATATTTGTTAAATAGATACACTGAATATACTAAAGTTTGAGAAAAAATCATGTCAAACATTCAATGATGAAAGATAAATTCGTGTTTGGTATTTATATTGACGGTATTGAATAAAAAAAAAAAAAAACAAAAAGAAATTTCAAATTGTATTGTACGATTTTATTACTCACCTCTTGTCGAACATTTTCAACGCAACTGGTAGAAGTATGTTCATAATCAAACTTGGCGCTTTGCACTTGCGACTGTTTGTTGTCTAATATCCTTCGCCTACGACGAACTATCATTGCATAAATTTTGCCGTTTGAAATACTGTACGTCGTGCTACGTACTTGTGTCGTATTTTTATTTTTTTAATCGCTGTTGTAGCAAAATAATTATGAGAGTTGTTGCTGAAGCACTGTTTAATGTCCAACGTTGACCCACGTCATCAATTGATCCACAGATTCGACACACAGATTTCTTTCTTTCTACAAAAACTTCAGTTTCTGAAAAAGCAGTATTTCAGCTTCTCTGCCGTTGAGAGTAAAATATTAAAAATATTAAATGTTATGAGAAAACATTAAATAAATACATAAGAAAAATGAAAATGATCATCAGGTGTAGGTTATATACATCTATACACACACTTGGGTTAGGTGCAATATAACAGTACCATCTCTGAAACTTCCTTTGATCCTTCTCATCCCATTTTTTAGGTTTTTTTTTTTAATTAAAAGATTTAATTGTAAAACGTTCTTTTCATTTCCAATACATAGAAGCTAAAGGTATCAATTTGAAAAAATGATAATTGGGACAATTTTAAAGTTATACCGGTGTTAAAAAATTTTGGGTCGGAACCCATTGGAATAATATTGTATACGTATCAATGTAACGAGTTGGGTTATGTTAGGTTAGGTTATGTTCACTTTCATACTCTCACCGGAACTATACGATGGAGATGCTGTTCAAGATATTGGCAGACCTCGTCTGAATAAAATTCTAGATTGTATTATTTAAAAGAAAATTGTTTGAAAGCTTTATCTGAGACGTATATATTCGGTGGAATTAATTGTAACAAGCCAGATTATATATTGAAACTATTAAGTTTAGGTTAGGTTTAGGTATTCGGTTAATGTAAACAAAGCAAACAAAAGTTTAATACATAATTATTTCTCATTAATATGTCTTGCGCTTTCTTCTTTTAAATATATACAAACCACTGATATTGAAAGAGATTAGGGGTTCTTTCTCCATACTGCATCGCATTTTATTCGTCAAGTAAGAACATAATTTCAAAATTCTTTAATGCTGAAGTCACATTGTTGTAATTATTAAATATAACGTGTTTATAATTGTATATTTGTATTGCAGATTGAGATATGGATAACAATAAGATTTATTGTCCGATCTGTTCTGAAGGATTTTCTTCTGCGGTAATAGAAAATCATGTCAGCAAATGTTTGTTCTTAAATGAATCAACGAGCAAAGAATCTCCATCATCCATTAAAGATGGGAGTCCTGCAAGAAAATATGTGAAATTAACTAACACTGAGCCAAAAAAGAATAGTTCAAGATTAATGAAAAAAGCAACAAATTTGATAGAATCATCAGTAACAAATACAGATTCTCATTGTCCAAAGACATCATTTCACAGTAATGTATGTATTTTTCTTTCATTTGTAAAACAAAGAATGATAATGTTAAAATGAGCAGTAGCTGTTAACGATAGTAATTTCTAGACAGATAAAGAAATTACAAAATTATTTGGCAATGATCATGTACCTCTTGCCGAACGTATGAGACCTACAACACTTTCAGAGTATGTTGGTCAATCACACATTCTCGGGCCATCAACTGTCCTGTATCAATTATTGAATAAATCTGAAATACCAAATATAATTTTATGGGGCCCACCTGGTTGTGGAAAGGTATACCAAGATAATTTTTTCATTAGAGGAAATACTACGTTTACTAAGTTTTATTTAATTTCAGACGTCTTTGGCAAATGTTATAGCTCATATATGTAAACATAAGTCAAATGGTAAAATGAGATACGTCAAACTGTCTGCAGCAATGGCTGGTGTAAGTGAAGTAAAAGAAGTAATCACCATAGCTTCCAACGAGTTAAAATTTAATAGACGCACGGTGATTTTTATGGATGAAATACATCGTTTTAATAAAACTCAGCAAGATGTATTTTTACCACACGTTGAGTCTGGTACCATCACGTTAATTGGCGCTACAACAGAAAATCCTTCCTTTAGTTTAAACTCCGCACTTTTGAGTCGCTGTAGAGTCATTGTTTTGGAGAAATTAAACATATCTAATTTGATATCTATATTGAATCAAGCTGTATCTTCTCTAGAAGGAGCAATACATGGCTCAAACAAATTGGAAAATACCGATCAAACACCAAAATTTATTATAGATGAACCAACCATAGAATGGTTAGCAGGAACTTGTGACGGCGATGCACGTATAGCATTAGGTGGTCTGGAATTAGCAGTTCAATGTAAAGTGCAGAGTAATGAAGAATTTTTACAGAATGGTCCTGTAATCATAACGTTAAACGACATTCAAGAAAACCTGAAAAAAACTCATATGTTATATGACAAGAAAGGTGACCAGCATTACGATATGATTTCAGCTCTGCATAAATCTGTTAGAGCAAGTGACGAAAATGCTTCTCTTTACTGGTTAACAAGAATGATATTAGGTGGTGAAAATCCAGTCTACATTGCGCGGAGGTTAGTTAGAATGGCATGTGAAGATATTGGTTTGGAAGATCCGAAAGCTCTCGGTAATGTCAAACGTTCAGAATATTATCTATTTTATCTAAAGTCTTATTACGTGACTTTGAAAAATAATTTTCAGAAATTGCCGTAAATACAATGCATGGTTGTAAGATGATAGGAATGCCCGATTGTGATGTCCTTTTGGCACAATGTACAACTTATTTAGCAAGAGCACCAAAGTCTAGACTAATGGAAGATGCACTCAGAGCTGCTCAAAAAGTAGTAGCTGAACATAAAGGACCTCAACCTGGAGTACCTTTACATCTACGAAATGCTCCAACAAAGCTTATGAAGAATCTAGGTAATAATTACATGTTACTTGTTACCAGTTTAAAATCAGTAAAAGATATCTTTTCAATGATGTATTTTTTACAAACTCTATTTTAGGATACAGCAAAGGTTACAACATGAAACATAGAGATGAATCGGGATTAAATTATTTACCAGAAGGATTAGAAAATATAAATTTTTTCGATCATTATTAAAATTACACAGGTATAAGTTTTCGACAAGTTTTAATGAAAGATTGGTTACAATACATTTATTATATTATTTACTATACTATACAATACAGAGTGTAATGTAAAAGCTATGCTAATTACATATTAAGATATAGACTTAAATAAAAATATTGTACTTTATCAAAATACAGATTTAATAATTTTTAAATATATTTTATAAGCAAAATAATACAGAATTTAAATATATTACTGTGTACTCGACATTTTTTTCCATATAATAGTTTTATTGTTAGCAGGCATGTCAATAATATTTATCAACTTAATACCATTCTTTTCTGCCAATGCCTTCAGATCATTGATATCTCTGACACCCCAACTTGAATCTTGGAGTTTCAAAGATTTATGAAAATTGACGTTACTTTCTGGTGTTATTTTCCCGTCTATAGCATAAGGTCCATATGTAAATAAAAGACCATTATCTTTTAATAATTTACCCGCGTTGTCAAATAAACCAATACAGCATTGATAAGGTGAAATGTGCATCATGTTTGCATTGTACATATAATCGATACTGGCTTCTTTAAAAATATCATTACCCCAAGTATGAAAATCTGTTGTGATATCTATTTTTAAAGGACGTTTTACGTTTGTAAGTCCATTCGTATGAGCTGCAATACTTTCAAGTAGTCTCGACTCGTATTCCGAAGGATAAAATAAAATTTGAGGAAATTGTTGGGCAAAATGGGCCACGTGTTGTCCAGAGCCAGACGCAATTTCCAAAAAAATTTTATCTGCACTGTGCTCAATATATTTTTGAAGAACTGATAGAATTGGATCTTTATTACGCTCGGCTGCAGGATAAATTAGCTGTTTGGCAGCCATTCTAGACCTTAAATTAAAGTCTAATTATTTGCCGATCTAAATTTTATATACAATTATTTCAATATTACAATTAGCATTTCGCTATTATGTACGGCTCTTCCATACATACTTATTTAAAAGAAAATGAATATAAATCTTACCTATGATTAGCAGCACAGCGAATAATTGTATTCATGTTTATTTCTCGCGTTCATATTAATTTTTGACCTGAAAAATTTTGCATATTATATATTACAGAAAGAATAATATATATTACAATTTAAAATTATGATGTAAAATATAACATATATAAATATAACAGTGTATACAATTTAAATTTCACGTAAATTAATTTACATTTATTATTCTTTTTGTGCATCATATTTAGTTTAATAGAAATCAATTTATGCAAACATAAATTTTTGTTGTGTTTATTGAATGATTATGTATTGAATGTACATCAAAAATACAATGTTACATAATAATTTACATAATAAAAAAATAATAATTTCATATTTTCTAAACTAGTTACAATAAATTAAATCAAGCAATATGTAAATTATTTAACACGCAAAAAGTTAATGATTTCTCTTGTCACTATTCCCTTTGCCTTGACCTTTTAATTTTTCTTGATTCTTTTTATGTTTCATTGAACCTGGTATGTACACAGAATGTCCTGTTTTCTTCAAATGTTCAAACAGTTTATTTTTACTAGGAAATTCGACTTTACACGTGACGCAACAATGCGCTAAATCTGACATTTCGGTACTTTGCGATCCTTTCTTATTTTTACTTGCATTGTCTTTTTCAAAAGATTTCTTCTTTTCATTTTTAGCCTTCTTACTTTTACATTTTTCATTAATTGCATTATTTGTTTCTAAATTATTAGGTAATACTTCTGTCTCATTCGTTTCTTTGATTATTTCTTCGCATTCGTCTATTTTATCATTGGATAATTGTTGATTATTGTCAACGATGTTGTTTAACATTGTCTGTTTTTGTTGCTGTTTTTTGCGTTGTTTTTTTGATAATAACACATCTTCCTTGATATTTAAATCTTCGTCACTAATTTGTTCCGCTATTGGATTCTGAACATTTCTTTTTCGCCTTTTCTTTTTTTGTTTCTTTGGTTGTGCAATTTCTTCACTCTCCTGGTCAGAAATAAGTTCATCTTCAGAAGTTGTACATTCATTGTCGCATTTGATTACTTTCGGTGAAACACGATGGAAATCATCCATCCAGGGTCCTGCTGCAGATTTAGATTCTTCTGTGCAACGTGTATCTTTTGATTCAGCAACATCTTTATATTCATCATCGTCTGACATTAATTCTGCCTCCGAAGTTTCGCCTTCGGTATTGGTTTTGTTCCAGTTACTTTGAACAGGATTTAACAAAAAGTCAGGGATTTGGGAATTTGTTGCCAATTTTTTCGCACATTGCGAGGCTGACTCAGAGTTGTCACTCTCTTGAGAACTTTCAAATTTCGTATCTTCTTCTATCATAGATACTTTTATCGTTGCAATATTATCTTTATGTCTTTTAGAGTTTTCATGATTTTCAAACGCCTTTTGCGTTTTAAAGATTTTATTGCAAGCTACGCAATACAAAGAATTATCGTCTATTGCATTTTCATTATCTGTGTCATCTTCAGAAGATAAATCTTCTCCAAATTCTTGGTCAAGATTAGCTTCGATATTTCTGAGTTCAGCCTCTATATTTGAAAATTTGGACCATTCTGACACCTTATGTTCCTTTAATTGTTTCTGCCTCTCTAACAACTGCTGTCTCTTCCGTTCTTCCACTTTCTTCAAATTCTCTTTTGCACGTTCGCTGAGCTTAACTACATGAGCTTGTACTCGTTTGTCGCGTTTACGTATAAAAGCAACCAAGTTTCTCACTTGTTCGTTTCTCTCCTTTTTGGCTTTATCTCGAATTTTTCTGTTTTCTTTCTCAATGAGACGTACAACTCGCCTATTGGGTGCATCTCTTATGTCGTAGGGATCTAACCATGCAAATGATCTTCTTGTACTGTAACTTTGCCAGTAGGCGTAAAATTTATGAACAATTTCTTCGTACGAACTTTGCGAATCCCCAAACCCTGGAATCTCTTCTAACGAATCGCTCTCTTTTGCAAATTCAATGTCTTCGGTTGCTAATTTTTCAAACACGTTGCGATAGACTGTGTAAAATCCTTTCTCATCGTCTCCATATCCCTTGAAACAAGTAGTCGAGAAATATTGGAAGAGATCGATAGAGTCGTCCTTGTAATCTCCGTCGATACCACCTTTTAAAATAGCTTCGCGGTGGTTGTCGTACCAGCTACGCTCGTGAGGATCACTCAACACTTCCCAAGCCTGTTGAACAAGTTGAAACTGTTCTTTCGCTTCCTCCGGATTGCTCAAATTCTTATCCGGATGCCATTTCAGAGCTAATTTTCTGTAAGCCTTTTTCAAATCGTCGTCGGAAGCGTTTCGTGGCACTCCCAATATCTCGTAATGACACTTCATCGTGATAACTCTAACGTTTCTTACTCGCAGTATTACGAATCGTCATGCCGCAATATATACGATTAAATAAAGATCTTTATAGACAATGATTTATGTTACACGTATATTTACTCGTTTATCAGCCGCTTCTTTACATCGTACACGATACAAGGATACATTTACATTAATCAACTTAAACTTAAGCCATATCTTACCGAGTATTTCTCTATGGTTACTTATATTTGGACGGTGACTGTATTTATTAAAAATTTTATAAAGAAATAGAGGACGACCGTCTCTTAAATACAGTTATATATACAGTGTGATACGTACGACACAGATGTGCAGTGATAATAAGATTCAACTTTTAGGTTATGTACCTTTATATACAACGTATTCGTGTGTGCGTGAAGTTGGCTCTACTTTGGAAACATTTGTCACATTTGTTTGAAGATTTACGACCTATTTTTTCAATCACGTACAAACTTATATTCACATTCCAGCAGATAAATTTCTTCGGATGATACAAGCGACAATTCAAGTAACCATCGATGCAATTCTACTTTCAAGCAATGACACGTGTTTTTCGTTATCGAGATTGTTGACAAATCACATTCTATCTAAAGGTTGATGAATTTTTCTGTCTTTCGCGTTAACGCGAGGCAAACGTGTCGTCCACGTGCTCGTTTCGTTAATTCAGCGAATCAAACGAGCTTTCGTTCCAACCCTCTTTGTCCAGGGGTAAATTTTCGGGAACAAAATCGAACGTATCGTAATCGAACGTTTACAACGTTCACTTTATATCGAATTAACGAGGATTTTACTAGGGATCTTTTGACGTGGAACAGCTGATTCTATACGCTACTCGTATAACTATTCTCAACATCAAGATGGCTACAGTCGCGAGTGCACAGTGAGGGTTGTATAATATTTGGCATATATCGCCAGTTTTACGACGTTTGGAGCCGTTGTCATTGATATTTGGTATTTTCGGTAAATATTTCTATGCCTTTTCACGTAGAACGCGCATCGATTTGTTTCGGTAATTAAATAGAAAGTGGATAAAATCGGAAGCCTGCAAATTGTCAGTGACATCTCGCGAACATGATATAGCAGACGCCTCTAATTGCTTTTAATAGGTTTTCTTCGAGAACTCGGGCGTATCGCGTTGTCACGACGTTTGTCAAGCTTCTCCTGCTGCGGGCAAACGATTTGTTTGATATTAATGAAAATATCTGTTGCTAATAATCGATGCAACGCTAATTATGCTTCGACCACTTTGCAACAAGATTTTATCATTTATTTGTCACGAAATTGTTTCACTGCGTTGTCACTTGACAATTTCTTTTGAATCGTACCTCTTGATTACTGTCGTCTTACATCGCCTATGTCAAAGAAGCATATGTTATGGATTTAGCAGCTTACGTCCTTGTAGGTTTATGAAATGAGTTTGCATGTTCATATTGTGTTTTTGTGTTATCAAAACAAGGCTTTTGTTTCTTTTGCTAACCAAAAAATTATGACATGTTGTTCATTTGCAATAATTTGCTTAAAAATGAAGTTGTCATGTTTTTCTCTTTCGTATCTTTTGTAACAATTACGTACTTGAATTTGTTTCACACATGAACAAATGAATATATTCATAAATGAGATATAAATCTAATGAAAATAATTATCGCAAATGCAAGTGTATGTAATTTTATAAAGTACGACACAATATGTTACATGTAATATCGTATACAATTGTAGCAAAGATAGTAATTCACTTTAATCGTGTTCATAGAACGTAAATGAGTTGTTTAAAAAGCTTCGTTTAATTCTGTTAAATTCATTCCATTAAATTCCAATTGTATGTTCAACATCATGATGACCATGTTTGTTAACAACATAATATTAAACAGATATTTCATTGCTAATTTTTACTTGATCAGTTTTGTGATAAATTGTAGGTTGAATTTTGAAAATGACAGCGGGCACAAGCTTGGTAGTACCCATAGTTTTGTGGGGTCGCATAGCTCCGACTCACTGTATTTCCTGCATCTATTTGTCTCGAGATCAGAAAACATTAGTAACGGGATGTTATGACGGCCAGATATGTTTGTGGCAGGTGGATCCTGAAACGTTAAAGGTAAACGCACTGTTTCAATTGAGTTTCAGAACTATTCAAATACCATTCAAATAATTATGTTATGTATATATTATGTTATGTATATATAAAGATGAGTCCAAGGTGTTTACTTGTTGGTCATACTGCTCCAATAATGTGTCTGAGTCGAGCAAGTGTGATTATGGAACAAAATTATATCGTCAGTAGTAGTGAAAGCGGAGAAATGTGCACTTGGGATCTAGTCGATGGAAAATGCAGGGAAGCTGTAAAACTCAGCAGTGTTCACACACAGATGTTGCCTTATGTCTCTGCTGGTGGAGAAGATGTTAGATTATTCTGTTCGGGGTAAGTTGCAGTAAATTTTATGACTTATTAACGTATACATTTTATCAACAAATTTTTAATTTAACGAATATTCATTTTAGATATTATCCTGAAGTTTTAGTAATGGACCCTTTTAGTTTGGAAGTTTTATTCACCCTAAGCTCACGTGTTAATCCTGACTGGATCAGTGCTTTGCACGTTTTGCGGCCGGCCAAACGGAAAGGTCGGTTCTACGTGCATACAAGTTAGTTACACTTCATCACACCTATGCTTTATACCATAAAGTGCAACCTATTTCTCTTTTGACCAATCTCTTTACCAATCTGTATTGTACAAAGTTTTATTGTTCTGAAAAAGTATTGTGTCGTTATAATTGAATTGAACTCAATCAAATTTTAAACTAAATTTTAAATAAAATTTATTTGTACAATATGATTGGTATTTCCTGGCCTATTAATTTTTTTATATACTATATTTCTGCTCAACAGGTCTTTTTGTTAAACGTTAAACAAAGTTCTTAATTAAAATATACATACTTTGTGCACTATTTATTCAATTAGATATAAATATAAATTTTGTGATATTCTTTCTGGTAAAGTAATTAACAAAGGTTACAATTTATACACATAGATATATTTTTAACTTTTCACAATTTGAAATTTTTTTAAGCAATTAACTAAGAGAAGCTTTATGCTTTGGGTACATTAGAATCTTTGCATCTAACTATTTATACATCCTTTTTTTTTTTACAAACAACGTTAAATTGATACTGTTATTCGATATATCCTGCATTGTTTAATGGTGATGATCTAAATATTATCGCAGTTTTAATGAAAATTACATTGTTGCAGCATGTGGAGACATATCAGTGTTATTGCACTGGTAGTTGCAAACTCTACCACTTTTTTCATATTTTCTTTCTTTTTGATTTTTGGTTTTCATTCTTTAAAGTAATAAAATCAAACGAGCAAACATTATTAATACCACAACAAACCTTTCTTTTATGCTATTCTCCTTCATTCGCATTTCCTCTCACAAAATCATCGTGGCATACATTGCATTTATTTACATTAGTCACTTTCGTATCATTTATGGTACACTATATCTATCGTAAGTATATATTTAAACTAATAATTTCTAGAATATATTTAATGTTTGAATGCAATGAATGCACTTGTACGAAAATCCAGTTTAATATTGTATAATGATATTTTGTTATATACCGTATGATAATCATATGACACATTAAATTTCATTGATCAGTAGAATAAAATCCTTACTCTTATACTTCGTGTTGTATTTTAAGTAAGGATACATAAAAAAATTGCATTTATTATTTCACTATATATCATATTTACAATGGCAAAACTTGTAACATGAAAATCTTTGTATTAAAAAATCTTAGAGAAACGTCTTAGAATTAAAAACGAGTTGAGAGTCAAAAAAGAATGTAAATAATATAAAAAAGTGTGATTGCATGTGTTATAATTGATCAAGAGTTTTGTCTACTTGTACATTAGATATATTCTGTAGTGCATATATTAAAGATTTTGTTCATTAACATGCGAGCCAGCAAAGTAAAATATCAGTCAGTAGACTTGTTTTGAAAACTTGTATACACTCCTTCTTAACTATATCTTTTTATATATGCTTAAATTATATTTAGGAATGAAAGTTCTAATTATGATTCTATTCTTATTTTTCTCAGAAACACGTACGAAAAGTTTCATCCAAAAAGCGAAGAGTGCTCCAAAATTTTGAACAAGAGTGTATACTAGTGGTTTGCTTTGTACGAAGCTTTTGTTAAGATTCAAACCGTTATAGTTGCTTTCTAGCATTTAAAAATTAATAATAAAGTCTATTAACTGGTACAAAATGTATTTGTAAGATAAATTTGGGAGTGAACATTTATTTAATAGATTTCTAAGATATCCTGTGTATGATTCAGATAAGCATGAATCCATCTTGATAGATAACTGTTGATAACTGTTTATTTTAACATATTATTTTGCATGAAATTAACAGTATATTACACGAGCTTAATTATTAATTGTTGTAATTATCAATTGCTTTAAATAGTTTGCTTTCTTGCTTTTAATATACTTATTTATCAATGGTAGAATTTTACAACTTTGTACACAGTTAATGTCTATGACAGTCTATGACACGTTTGTGTATATTTATAAGGCGTCATTTTATTGATCCTTGCTAAAAATTCTTTTGCTTAAAAATGCTGTAACACCTTCTTAGATGTAGTTAACGCGCAACAGGCGCTTCCATTCATTTAAAGACGACGTTGTGCTGGCCTTAACGACGACTGGTACGGTCAAGGTGTGGACTCTTCTTGGACATGAAAATCGTAATAGTGAACCTCTCTACGAACACGAAAGTAAACAGATACGATGCCTAAATGCACTTGCAATGACTTGTTGCCCGTATAATCAAAGAACCGTGTTAATTGTGTGTTCCAAACATTGGCAGGTATACATTACGTGTTACTATGGATTTTTTTTTTGAATTATTCAACTTTGATTTCTACTGATACATTGTTCACATTAGATATACGATGCTGGTGATTTCTCCCTTCTATGTTCCATTACCTCACCTTGTGGTGAACGTTGGATGGCCGGAGACTTTTTAGCTGCAGATAGAGTTATTCTCTGGAGTGACGAGGGTCATGGTTATCTCTATAAACTACCAGCTAAGTACGTTTTTAATTGGAATTTCTTTTTTGTCATTACTCTGTATCTTATTTCTAATATTTCATATTTTGGACTTTGGATCATAAAGAAATGATCAATGATGACAAACACTCAGTGTTTAAAAATGAAATAAAAAATTTATTACAAAACAAGTTTAAAACATAAATTTACTTAATGAATTATTCATTTGTTGCTTATAGGGTTCTGGTACAGCTTTACAGGTAGTTTTTCTAAATTTAATATTGGCATTTATCTTAAATATAAGAATTAATATGTCAAGTTTTAGTAAAAAAAAAAAAATTGGGAAAAGATGCTTAATCTCATAGTGTGACATTAGATACTAATTTGGATTTATATACTTTAAGAAATATTATAAATAAATTTGAAAAGAATTTTCGAGAGAACACTTGCAATTCAAGTAATGTAATAAAAATATTAAAAGTTAAAGCTATAGTAAATGTAGAAATATTTTGGAAAAATATTTTGTTTTACCAACTCTACATTATACAGAATAATATTTTTGAAAGAGAAAAAAATATATTATTACGAGTATGTACTTACAGTAAAATGTAATATAAAGTAGTTAAAATGTAGTTACTTATTTTAATGCTAATGTCATTTGCAGTTCATCATTTTTTCGTCAATATACTTCATTTATTACTGGATACATACGTAGATGGGTTTTTGCAAACACACTTTTCCCAATTAAAATCTTTAATTTACAGTTTTTAAAATTAAATGCTATTTTATAGAAGCACTTGCTGGCAATGCACATTCAATATTTGTTCCCCTTATGTTGCTTTACTTCATTTATCATAAACATTCATATTCAATCAAAAATAGGAAATATTAATTATTTGCTTTCTCTATTTTATATAAAAACTGTCAACAACAACATTTCAATTACGAAGTGAAATAACTTTAAGAATAGTTGAGAAATTATTATGCCTTTTCTCTACTTTACTCTTAGCAAAGACACAATTAAACATAAATATATGTACATCTATTTTCATGAAATGTTTGCGAAATTCTTATGTGGGAATGAATAAAATTTCTTGAGATTTATTTATATTGTAATATACGACAGAGTTTTCAAACAAAAGAGTTTCAACACGAAAAATAATTAAATATATTGCATTACACGTATTTGTAATTTATACATGTTACAAACAATTCACGATTTGTTTTTACGGTGATGCGTTTTTTTCATATAATACACATCTACTGCATTCTACGGTGGATCTGGTATTCTTCTAGCAAGTTGAAGGGCAAGGCTCTTAGCAGGTAATCCTGCATTATCTTTGTTAGATACTCTCTTCTCGTGCTCTTTACTGTAATTTTTGTCTCTTTATTTGTATTCTTCGTATTCGTTTTGCTAAGTATATTACTCTTTTATAGGCTTATTTCTTTTTTTTTTTTTTCTCTTGTCCCTATTAAAAATGATGAATGAAGTATAATATTTATAAATTTCTTATGTGAAATTCTTACAATACAATTGACAAACAATTTGAAATTAGGAATATATAAGTGTTTTTATAAATTTAAAAGTTAATCAGTTAATTAAAAACAAATACATTGCATTACATGTACTAAATGTGAATACATTTTTATAATCATATGTTATATGTATACGTAATCTTAAACTTAACATACATGTTATATATGAGATACAGTTATATTTGTTATACATGTATCGTATGAATACAATATCATATTTAAATTAAATGATGAAAATTCATATTAAACAAAACATTGTATATATCTATTGTATTATATCTCTCTGCACTTCACATCTTTATTACGTTTTCATCTTTATATATCCTAAGTTGCTTTACGTGTATCAGTATTTCACATCACAAGTCAAGTAAATGATAAAAATAACTATTTCTATAAAAAAAATAATAGTGCTATGCCAGCTTATGTAGTTTAGTACGCCTATATTATTTAGTTGCGTTTATGCAAATGAATTTATACATTGAAAATATTTTTCTCTTTGCATTTATTACAACAAAATATTCATTTCATCAGTTAATTTAGATAAATTATGAAATGCGTAAATTTATTGCCGGTATTGACATATGATAAATCAAGTAATATAAATTGAGTCATTAAAATGAATAAATACAATGAGTAAATACAACATTTATGATTTGTTAATTGCAAAGCATTCTTAATTTTATAGTTTACAATTTATTATGGTATGTCGAAAACTATGTGAATTAATATTTGAAGCAGTGTTGTTCTAAAAAAAATTTTTTGTATTGTATAGTAGCGTTGCAGACAATAAGAATTTTCATACCGCTGGTGTCGAATATGATCAACCCTATCTCTATTGCACTTTGACACAACCTGGAGATAAAGTAAGTTTAACACTGGTGTTTAACAATTTCAATTTCTTAAAAATTATATACGATTCAAGATTATTGTCTATTATTCTTTCCATTATTCTTTTCATTTCAGCCTCTGTCATGCCCACCAGCAATGCGATTAGTTACAGTTCAGAAACAGACTAAAACATTGAAATATTTGTTACGCGGTGACAGCGAAGGAGTTGTTCTGTGGACAGTTCCAGAAGTAACGACTCAACAATTGGCACAAATCTGTCAAAATGACCGTTCAACCCCACTTTCATTGCCACCAACGATAAAAACAAGTATTGCAATGGCCTGGGAGGAAATGAAACCACCGCCAGTTGGAATATTGGATCAGTTAGATAGCGGAGATGGGCACGGCATAAAATTAACGGCTAGTATATATTTACCGCAACAAAGTCGTTTGGTCGTCGGTCGTGAAGACGGCAGTATTATCATTGTTCCTGCAACACAAACGGTCATGCTTCAATTACTTCATGGCAATCATCAACAATATGATGGTACAAATGAGTTTGTCAATTCGATACTTTGCTAATTGTATTTTTGTTCAATTTTTGTTCGTAATTGCGTAATTACAATTGAGATATTTACACAAGTTTTGTTTAATCAAAAAATGTCCGATCATACTTCTTTTCTTTATTTTATTATGTGGTTTATAGATTGGCCGCCTCATCAAGTACTTTTGGGTCACTCTGGTCGCGTGAATTGCCTTTTATACCCGCACGGAGCAGCGCCGCGTTATGATCGGGCCCACCTCGTTTCTGGATCTGTTGATTTCGCCGTGTGTTTATGGGACCTTTATGCTGGTACACTCATTCATAGATTCTGCGTGCATGCAGGTGAAATTACACAATTAATGGTGCCACCTGACAACTGCAGTGTACGTTTAACTTTTTCTTGCAAGTTTATTATTAATTGACAACCATCTTATCGTATTTGCCTCGCAGATTACACATAATTGTAATAATTTTGTTATCTTTTTAGCCTAGAATACAAAAATGTGTTTGCAGCGTTGCGTCAGATCATAGCGTTACACTGTTGTCATTGGCAGAGAGAAAATGCGTTGTCCTTGCTTCTCGACACTTGTTCCCAGTTGTTACCATAAAATGGAGACCATTGGATGATTTCATGATAGTTGGATGTTCGGACGGAGCTGTGTACGTATGGCAAATGGAAACTGGTCATCTAGATCGCGTACTGCACGGTACATACGGATTTTCAATTTTAATGTCCCACTGTGATTCCACTTTTTTTTCTTTTTTCTCTTTTTTTTTTTATTCCAAGAAATTTCACGTATTATGCTATATTTGTATTTTTGTAAAAATGAATATTACAAGCATCGTATCTTTAAAGTTTAAAAATTTGTTTCTATGAAAAATATTTCCATAAAAATGTGCGCAGGCATTATCGCGGAAGAAGTGCTCTATGCTTGTGATGAAAATACAATAGCTGCGTCTGGTGGATCAGCCGCTGGTGGTGAATTAGGTTTAGCCAATCCTGCTGTACACTTTTTCAGGCAAGTGAAATTTTGTAAAATGAATAGTAAAAACATAGAAGGAATATTCCTTTTTATGTTGCTGATATTTCGTTTGTTTAGAGGCTTGAGACACAGAAATTTGTCCGCTATAAGACATGCAACCCAAAGAGGATTGCATCAACTGCAACAACTTCACGGTGGACAAGGTGTTGATCATGGAAATCAGATAAAAACAAAAGGCACACCATTAATGATTCAAGGTTTTAGAAGTAATCCCAAAGATCCGGAAAGTCATATTTTATTTTTTGACATAGAAGCGTTAATAGGTAACGTTTCTTTTGTCTTTCTTGTTGATACGTTAGACTGTCAAAATTTTTATAAAGACATTTAGAAATTCGGCTTATTTTTGTTCTTTTTTTTTTTTTTTTTTTTTTACA